TCGCGTTGCAGCGGCGGTTTTGGTTGGCTTTATTGTGAGCCAGCATTTTGATGCATGCGACAGATTTAGCCGTATACTCTCAAATGAAGAACACTGCCTGCATACCCATCTCAATAAATCGTTGTCTCATCCGAGTACGCGTTCCAAATTTCGGATTCTTTGTGCTTGCACCACCACATGATCCCTTATTTTGCTCGTATCTTGGTCAACTGAGCAAATAGTATTACTGACTTGAATAATCATCTGCCAAATGAAGATTTCTTCACATCCATTTGTTTTTCATTTAACAAAAGTGTAATTTCTTTTTCAAGGTTTATGTTTCCTTCACTATAATATGTCGAACGACGAAACCCGCTCAGTGGGTCAGCGCGGGATAGGTATTGTACTCAGCAACACGGTGGAGTCCTCCCTCATCGATTGGATCCCCGTCAACAGTCGTTTATGTGCAGTGCATCTCCAGAGTTCAATCAGCGTCCGGAAGGGAAGCAACAAAATATGTTTGTTCATCGTATCAGCATATGCACCGACCAGTTGCAGTTCTGATACCCGAAAGGACGCCTACATTTACCTCACCAATCTCATTCGAATGAGTCGAAGCTCCGACAGTTGTACTGGCCGGTGACTTCAACGCGCAGGTTGGAAAACTGGGCACATGAGAAGCTTGCCTAGGCGGTAGTTGTGCTCTGCCCAGTCAATGAACAGATAACGGCGATCAGACCATCATCTGTTCCTATTAAGCACCAACTTCCAACACAGCTCTCGACGGACGTCAACGTGTCGCTTCAGTTCCACTGATAAGCTGACTCAAATCAACCACAGCAGTGAATTACCGTTGGCGTGACTCAGTTCAAAATTGAAAATCCCATTGGACCACCGTTGAGTCTGACCACGCATCAGTTTTGATGCAGTTCACTCTTCGGTTGACTGGTCGACGACTACACCAGCAAACTCGGATAGCTCATCATCGACTATCTGTTCCAGCCGTTCGTGCACGCTGAGTCAGAACTAACGGGTGAGCTAAGCGCGTCTCAACGTGATCATTTAAGTGAGCAGTGGGATCAAATTAGGCGAGCAATGCATTCCGCTGCGAATGTTACTTGTTGGGAATGAGCCTCAAGCCCATGTGAGGCATTGGATATCTGATGAGTCTGTAGCACTGATAATCAAAAACGACAAATCCGGACTTGCCAGGTTAGGTGGCATCTACTACACCAGCTCACGAAAAACCTCAAGAAAGAACTTGAGAACTGTTAACCAGGAGTAGCTTGTGAAATGGAAGTTGCGACTGCAATAGGGAATAGTCAAAGACTGTTCCGCCTGATACGCAATACGGGAGGTCGGCGAATTCTAGTTAGTGAAACAGTCTGCGATAAGAGGGTACACGCTGTTCACAATAGGGATCAATGACTCAATCGCTGGTCAGACTACTTCAGCGAAAAGTTCAGCTGGCCTAGTGCTAACCAGCCTGCTTCATCTACAACTGAAGTTCCGTGAGTAGTGTCACGCGATCCTCCAACGGAAGCACAAGTTCGGTCTTGCATTCAACCTCTGAAGCGAGCAAAGGCAGCAGAACGGGATGACCTCCCTACCACTCTTTCCAAAGTGAGCGATAGTTACCCTTGTAAGCGCCATTACTAGCCTACTGCGCAAAATCTGGATGTAAATACACATTCATTCATCTTGGCGCGAATCACTGATCGTTCCCGGTTTCAAGAAAACATGTCGCAACGAACGTGAAAACTACGGCGTGAATGTACTGATCAAATTTTACGTTGCGGCAGGTCCTTGAGCCGCGTCACACCCACCGCCGACCAACGATCGCAGTGTTCTTCGACCGGAAAGCAGCCTTCGACTCAGTTGATCGCGAAGCTGTCATGGGCTCCCTTCTTCGAAAAGGAATGCCTCAGAAGTACGTTAACCTACTGGGGTCACTGTACTCACAGACCTCCAGTGGTCTATGATGAACTAAGTAGGCCGTTCGCCACCAGCAGCGGCGTTCGTCAAGGATGCCCTCTTTCGCCGTTCCTGTTCAACTTCGTCGTCGACGAAATACTGGTGAACGCACTAAGTGGACCCCAAAACGTAGGTATTGAATGGGCAGCTGGATAAAAGCTGTGCGATTTGGAGTACCCTGATGACATCGTCTGTCTGTTCGAATGTATGTAGGACGCACAAAGCGTACTTGATAGATTAACAAGTGCAGTTGCCACATTCGGTATGTGCTTTGCACCTTCAAAGTGCAAATTGATGCTTTAGGACTGGGTTTCGTCTCCTCCCGCTCTGAAACTAAATGGTCAGGATTTAGTTGTGGTGGATTACTTTTCCTACTTAGGTAGTTGCGTGACCAAAGATAGTAGTGCAGCAAGGGAGATAACCGGTCGCATTTCCAAGGCTCGAGCAGCATACGCAGGACTGAAACACCTTAAGCGTAGACGCGACGTTCCACTGAAATTGAAAGGTCGTGTATATTGTGCCACCGTTCGTTCAGTTCTGCTTTATAGTTGTGAGACCTCGGATTTGCGAGTAGAAGGTATCCGTCGACTAGAAGTTTTCGATTATCGGTGTTTACGTAGTTTAGCCCACATTGGATGGAGCGAACGGGTTAGTAATGTGGAGGTAAGTCGTCGTGTGTTTGGACGTGTATCAGGTATAAACCTGCTGGCTCACCGAATTCAGATTAGTAGACTTCTCTGGCTAGGGCACGTATTGCGTATGCCCAGCTGTCGTTTGCCGCACCGCGCCTTATTCGCTGTAACTAATCCGGGGTGGATGAAACCGCGTGGAGGTCAACAGATGACGTGGAGACGAGGCATGAAGAAATTCACAGAGCCATTAGGTAGAGTAGTTGTTTCTCGCCTTCCCGGTTGGGGTCTGAAAGATTCCACAACTGGTTGGTTGCAGATATTGAAGGATATGGCAGCGAACCGACAGCAGTGGCGTTCTTGTCGTTTCTTATCAGGTCAGAATGCTTGAAACGGTATGTATGCGGAGTTCGATTGTGTACTCTCTGTGTGTTGACTATAGAGGTTCACCTTCTTCCCCCTCCCTCAAAATTGGTCCGATCCCTGTTCACCTTAAATTTTACCACTAATCTTGTATGCAATGGTAGTTTGGCAGGGATCAGTGAAGTTCGCTTCACTGTATTTCGCTTTACGAGGATGATGATGACAACACGTACATATGCCTTTTATCGCAGACTGTAGAGTCATCTGTTCTGCGTCCCGCGTATTGTCACCGTAAAGGAACGTTTGAAATATAAGCGAATATTTGGTGTTGAAGCTGCTGCTGTTATTTCTTTTTCGAGATAGATTTGTTCTGTATTAGGCCAATTCAGATTGTCTTAGGTAATGGAGTAAAATCTCGCAAATAGTAATCTCGGGTTATACATTAGAGAGCCTGAGAGGCTTTTAGCGTCCATAATGCTAGTGTGCATTGTCGCGGGCACATTCAGTATCGGCTGTTTTTGCGTACATTTGCTTCAATGGGGATTGGTCTGTGGTCAGTGTTTCGACAAACCCTCCTTACCAAATGGATTTTCCTAATAGTCACGTTTCTGCGCCGTATAGCATAACTGGCCGAACTACTGCAGCATACACTGGACCCTCGCAGACAACCGAATGTCGTGACTGCGCCACAGATGTCTCAAGTTGGCAAATGCCAGCGAGCCTTCTGTATTCGAGTTGACACTTCATCCGTGATGCGTCCACCGGGTGAGATGTAGCTGCCCAAATAACAACTTATCCACTGGCCGTATTACTTCCCCAGTTAGAGTGAATCTAGGTGCTGGACCCACCCGGTCTTGAAGTAGTGTTTTACACCGTCGAACTTGGTTATACTAGCACTCAAATCATCTAGAAAGGTTTGCTACTTATCTGGATTCGATGATTTTTTTGTAAGTTCGTTTTCCGCTCTCTTATATTTTGATCTGAGTTGTTTGAAGTGTGATGTACTAACCAAAGAGTATGAATCACTGAAACTAATGCTTGTTCACTACATGGTGATCTATTCAAAATGCTTCTTGGTAGTCTAATGGGGTCCAATTCCGTAATCACGTAGACCTATTGTTCGCTTATACGAATCGGTAGCCTAATTCTCGGATCTACTGAAGGTGCGGTGTTAAGCCCGAAGATGGCAACACTGCCTCTATAAGTATGGTACGACTGCGTATAGACTTTGGGAGGTGTTGGTAAATAAATATCCAATACTTTTGTAGTCGCTGTAATAAAACAGAGTATCCTAAAATTTGCAGCGAAGCACGCTGAACTCCTTTCACAAACGGTTTATTTTCACATTCGGTTATAACATTCAATGGATTCACTCCCAGAAGTTTACAGAATAAATTTCATAAGAGGCACTTATAAGCACTCACGGGGAATGAATCACCTCCATAGTTTTAGTTATGAAATTCAAATAGGATTATGATTTTGTGTCTGTGGTTCCTCTTGAAGGTTTTCAGTGCCGACACAACTGATGACTCGAGGCTGTATGGAGCCTCACTCCTCACTCTCAATCTCACAATAGGTGTGAACTCAGTCCCACAGATATGTGAGCTTAAAGAGGCCGTTCTTGTTCTCTCAGACCTTGTTACCCTTTAGAAACTGCTGGCCCCCACCAAATGGAGCGGTGCAGTCTGGATAGTTAATGGAATACGCTCTCTTCAGCGAGCACGATCACCAGAACCAGATCTTTGTAGTTCGTCCGGTGGGGATTGTATGATTCACGAGTGGGATGAGCTGGTCTAGCCCGCAGTTATGCGCCAGACGCTTATGATCCGCCGATTGATCAGGTCATTTTCGGGTGTCAGTTATCTGTGACCTGGAAGATTGCTTGCTTTACCGTTCACACGTGCGAATGAGTTTGCGATGCATCACTGAGTCGGTTTTCCCTCAGTCGTAGTGACATTAGTGGAATGTGCTCTAATTTGTGCGTGAATTTGGCTTGTGAAAACTATTTTCTCGCTGTCTTATACTGTAATTATATTTGTTTTGATTTTCATCCAGACGATCTGGACGAATTCAGTGCACTTCCAGGTGATGCCCAATCGAATTCATCTGCTTCTTCTGTGAGCGGTGGCGGTGGGAGCGGTTCAACGCAGTTGGCTTCTTGTCCAACAATCGGTTGTAAGGGTTACGGTCACGCCAAGGGTCCTCGACACACGACACATCAGCGTCTTTCAGGCTGCCCCTATTCCGACGCGAATCTGAAACGTGATTTTATCCGAGCTCATGACCGTCTAACTTCAACGAGCATTGTTCCTGCTACTCCCGATTCTACTTCCCCCACAATATCACAAATGCCAAAGCTTGAACAACAAATTGACACACCTACATCAGATCATTTGGCTATTGGGCATCAGCGCGTTTCACCTGATTCCAGTGTTCGAAGTGATGCATTCCTAACCCGCCGTGTACCGTCCCCTGTTCACGCGGCTGCTATGTCACCCAGTCTTATCGTATCCTCATGTCCGTCGTCCTCTTCGTCTTGTTCCTTATCTTCTGCTCTGACAACTATGTCGAAACCTCCCAGCGAGCCGGAAAGTCAAACCATAAAGATCAATTCCGTGCCCCCCACCCCGTCTCGCTCACCCACTCCAATTTCCTCATCTTCAGCGGTGGAGTCTATCAGTGCTTTTAAGGATAATCCACCGCCAACAACAGTGCATGTTTCGACTGAATCCAAAGTGGTAACTACACCTCTGGATTTATCTGTCGATAGAGAGAAACACCGTGTTGTGCATGATAAGCCACCCGAGCTGCAGGAGGCTTCTCAGGAAAACGGAGACTATTCTAATCTTTCGAGCAACACGCTCAAGTCTTGGTAAGTACACTTTTTTGCTCATCAGCGTGATATAAAACTGGTTATATCGGGTTGCATACATTCCATGCCTTTCAAACTGTGAATGCTGCTTTGATCAGTACAATCATCGAGTTCTACAACACGGCACACCTACTGCTTTTTTTTATTTCTTTCCAATCCGCTCATATATATATTTTAATAAAACAAGTAACAATGTGAGCAGAATTGATGTTTGCCATCAATTTCGCGTGCTCTCAATCAGCTGTCTACGCACATTAAATAGGTCAAATTTTATCATAAGAACACCATATATGGACATTTACGTAATTACGTGGATTCAAGCATAAGGCACTTGGTGGTTGAGTGATTATCAAAGTTATTTGGGTACGGGTTAAAGACTTTGGTAATGACTCAACCACCCAGTGTTTTCTGCTTGAACCCATGTAATTATGTCAATATCCATATATGGTGTTCTTATGATAAAATTCGACCTATTTAATGTGCGTAGACAGCTGATTGAGAGCACGCGAAAGTGATGGCCTATATCACTTCTGCTCATATTGTGTTACTTGTTTTATCATGTTTTTGTTGCACACCATCGTGTGATGAACAGATAAAAGACTGGACTCTATTGTCACGAGGAACCACCATTCGTTTATGATATCCGTTACGCCTAATCCCCTCGAAATGAAGTGGTGACCCACAGAGCTCTACTTGGAGTTAGCGTGATGTTTTGTTGGTTTATGGTGAGACTTTCTACCACGATCTGTCGTTTTTACCGTCCCCAATCTATTTCGGAACAGCTGTTTTTATCGTCATCGTTGAACTCTATTATAATACTAAAGGTCACCGATGACGATTAATGCTGATGTGTTGCGACATTTTTGTCTTTTGCAAATGAAAGCAAATAAACGCTCAATTTTTTATTGCATATTGTATAGCGAGGAAAGTCGTAAAGCTAAGATAAACGAGTGTGCCATTTTTTAACAGGCATCATCATCAGCGTACAGCGAAATACAGAGAAGCGAACTTCGCTGCTCGCTGCCAAACTCGCAATGCATATGCACTGGGGTGCAACCTAAACCCTTTGATTTGACCTGACAGCAACACGATTATACATCATTTACGGTTATGGTAACACCAAGTCTAATTTCGTATTCTCTCTGATGGATGAAACTCGGTGAAATTTTGCATATAAACACTTGCTTTGTTGGCAGTCGTGATCGGTTTAGCACGGCCCGAAGAGCAGCAGTAGGAGGGACTTCGAGAGACTTGGTTGTGAAGAGAGTGAGTACAATCAGCCAAAAGCAATCAGTGCAAAGAAGTGACGTCAAATACGTGACATCTAAAATAGGTCAACACCTACCGGAATTTGATGCCACTTTCTCTGAGCGAATAGGCACACGGAATATTCGACTGACTGCACTGATTTGGAAGTC